CCTTCCCATCTTGCCATTCTTAGGATCATAATTTAGAACTGGAAAGGACCTCAGAGACTATTGAGTCTAATCATCTCATTTTACATACGAGGAGACTCAGGCTCAGAGAGCTTAAGTGATATCACCATCCTCTCATCACTAGTGTCACAGGCAGCATTGGAACCCGGGTCTATCTGACTCCTGATCCATCAATTTATCCAGTATCTCATACTATGGAGCCTAGGTCAGGTGACTGACAATGCTGTTTGAGATTTTGTGGAGGCACTCTTTATAGGATACTATAGGTGGCAGGTATAACTGAGGGATAATGTACTGTAATGCAAACAAAAATCAAATCTGGCTTTGGAGTCAGAAGAAATAACATTGAATGACTCAGCTCTGCCCCTAACTATCTGTGTAAGCCTGGCCAAGTCAGTCAGCAGCCCTGGGCCTCAGTTTCTTTCTCTATAAAATGAGAGGCAGGTGAGATGACTCCGAAGTTTCCTTCCAGCTCTAGATCTATACTTCGAGGATGCTAACACAAAAACACACATCTTCTGGCATTGCAAATAGACTGATTTCTCAGACTGCCAATCTTAGTTGTGGCTGGCAAGCAGGAAATCCTTCTGTAGGGTATATGCCACAAATATTTAGCTCAGAGGATTCCCCTAGCCAACATGAGCATCACTGGTTTCACTGGCATCGTGACAGAGTAGCTTCCTGCCAGCCTCTCACAGTGTAGATCTGTCCTAGAACAGGACCAGGGAGGTGGACAGGGCTGGAGAGGCATCTTGATCTCTTCTCCTTTGAAAGTTGCTCCTAATGGCAAGCAAATCTTAGTGCCATGCTCATCACCTCATTCCCCTGCCCTGCAAGATTTTTTTAAAATAACAGTATCCAAGCTCTTCCTATGTTGCATCCTCACCTACAACTATCAAATCCCTTTCTGTCTTCAAGACCCAACTCAGGTATCAACTTGTACAAAAAGCTATCCTGATCTTCCCCTCCACAACCATCAGTACCCTCCCTCCACAATTACCTTGTATTTATCCACTTGGTGTTCATTTTATTGGTTTTTACATTGCTTCTTTATAGACACATGTATACTTGTCTTATTCATTAGAAAGTAATCTTCATGAAGGCAAGGAATTCTCCATTATTCTATTATTATCCCCAGAACCTCAGCACAAAGTTGGTGATTAATAAATACTTGTTGATCTATTGATTAAGGGTGCCTCTCCCTTAGGAGGAGTTTCAGGGAAGGAAAACTGAGGTGAGACTTGAACATGTTTGTGGATTTTCAAAGTCTGAACATTGGGAATCATGGTTATGCCCAGATAATATTATGGAATAGTAATAAACCAGTTGGGGACAAAACACAAAGGCTGGAGCTAAATCTGGATGAATGTTTGGCTTGGGGCAAGGGTCACAGGCTGATCCACCTGGAGCCCTCTGACTCATCTGATGCTCACACTTCTGCTTCAGCCAGGAAAGCCAAGAGGAGCTTCTTTATGGGCGGTTGGACAGAACAATGGGGCTTTATAGAGGGTGCTTGTTAAGCTTGAATGAACTCAGAATGAACTGTAAGCCACAATTTAATCCAGGTTAGGGAGACTTGCTGAAAAAAATGTTCAGTGAGCTCACTACAAGAAAGAGTTTATGCTGAATATTCATCTCTACTACTATCTCTTTTCTCTTCTCTTTTTCCCTTTTCTTTTCACTTCTCATACTTTTTAAGCTTGCTATTGCAGTGTCATTACACCACTACTCAACTCTTATGTTCCTCATAGATTCTGGTGTGGATGGAACACGTTCCTGAAACTCTCTCTCTATATATATCAGAAGGACTCGTGTCATAGAATCATAGATTTATGGATGGAATGGACACTAGAGGTTATCTTGTTCATCTCTCTTGCATTATTTAGAAAGAAACTGAGGCCCAAAGATAGGAATGCCTAAGTTCAAACAGGATTTGAATTCAAGATGGTGGGCTACAAAGTGAAAACTCTTCCTATTACTCTGCCTGGCCTCCCTTGAATATGGAGGGAATGGAATTTTGAAGATTGTTAATCCAAGGTCTTCATCAGTGAAAGGAAAATTCTTAAATCCTGTCACAGATGTGGCACAGAGGATTATTGTTCAGACATTAAAGTCAATGCCTCCTGAAGTCTTTCCAAACTCTGAGATTCTCTGATTCTTGGCTTCAGAGTACTGTGGGGCTGAAAATTTGCCACTGGTGTCAAATGGAGGAGTGGCCCTTTGCCAATGCATGGATATAAAGAATAATAACATTTGAAGAGTTTGGGGTAGAGAATATGGAGGGCCTACCAGCCCTGCAAGTATGTCCTGGGATCTTATCTCAATCAATCAGTCAATGGCAAGCATCTAATAAGTGCCTACTGTGTTCTAGGTATCATACCCAGAAGCTAAAAAAGATAGTCTTTCACTTTCAAAGCCCCTCATAACCTTCCCTCTCGAAACTTTCCATTATTTGTATGCCTTGCTCTTCTTCACATACTCTTTGATCAGGTGACATTGACCTCCTGCTTTTTCCTTCAGGAAGACCCTCCATTTCCCCACTTTAGGCATTTTCAAATTCTAGATATTCCTATGCTGAGATTTTACTCCCTCACCATCTCCAAAATGAGTCTCCCAGATTTCCTCCAAGTCACAGATCCCACCTTCTACTAGACTTTCCCAATCTCCTCTCCCAACTGTGATTGTTTCCTCCTATTAATTATCCTTAATTGATCCTATGTAAATCCTGTTTACCCATCATCTTTCCCTTTCTACTGTGAGCTCCATGAGAGTAGCTATTGGTTTTTGGTTTTTCTTTTGTTTGGATTTTGAATTTGTTTTGGTTTGGATTGCCAGGGTTTAACATCATACCTGTCACATACCTGGTGTTCTTTAAATGCTTTAATTAGCATATGGTGTTAATTGAATGCATTAATTAATTAGATTAGCAAAATACTGTTAACGGACTGAATGACAAAGCCCTTTAGGATTGACCTTTCAAATAACATCAGCTTGACCAATTTGTAGGCATAGAAGTAATGGGCAAAAATAAATACATAAAATAAAATCATCCAGAGAAAGAGAGCTAAGGTATAATCCTAATCACAATGTAATGTCTTTGTAAAGTCTTGTGATATGCTTTGGTAGGTACCAATTCATTATGCTATTTGATCTTTACAAGAATACTGCATGGTCAGGTGAGCAGACCTCATCATCCTCGTTTCACAGATCAGGAAATAGGGATACAAAGAGGCTGCCCAGTTTGCTCAAGATCTGGTGTCTAACTACCTGCAGTGTCTGAACCACAACTCAAAGTTCTTTATTCAGATCAAAGTCCACTTCCTACTGCCCTTTAGTGACCCTATCTGACCTCATTTTTTTCTTGATTACATTGAGGAAAATGAGACGCAGTAGTTCCTAGAAGTAGCAAAGCACTACTTGCCTCCTGGAAATTTAAATGACTGAACAAGTTGTGGTATATGATTGTAATGGAATACTCCTGTGTGGTAAGAAATGTTGTGCTAGACAGTCCTAGAAAAACTTGGATAGACCTGCTGGAAATGATGAGGAGTGAAATGAGCAGAACCAAGAGAATGTTGAATACAGTGACAACACTATTGCTTTAAGAATAACTTTGAACAACAAAGTCATTTTGACTATTATACATACCCACAATAATGCCAAAAGATATAGGAAAGGAGGTAGTATTTGCATCCAGAGAAAGAACTGATACATAGAAGTATTTATAGAATAATTTTACATGTATAAATATTTGTGTCTAATGGTAGTCATCTCTAGAGTGAGAGAGGGGAGGGAGGGAAGAAAAAAAGGAAAATAAATTCCGTGTTAACTTTATTAAATATTTTAAAGGAATAGCAAGTTGAACATAATAGATTTGCAGTTTCATGTGCAACCATCTTTTTTTTTTATCATTGTACTATGTTGCAGAAATGCATGTTTTATTCCATAAAGTAAAAAAAAATAAAACAATGTTAGGATGGGCAGAGATGAAATGGGTTAGATAGTCACAAATGACATGAACTTCACAAATGAACTTTGAAATAACAGGCACAGCAGATGGTCTCAATCATCTTTTTAAGATAATTGAATTGGGGGGCAGCTAGGGGTGCAGTGGATAGAACACTGGCCCTGAAGTCAGGAGGACCTGAGTTCAAATTCGGCTTCACACCAAACACTTGACACTTACTAGCTGTGTGACCCTGGGCGAGTCACTTAATCCCAATTAAAAAAAAAAAGATAGTTGAATTGGATAGAATTAGAGGTCCCAGACAACCCAGACTGGGATACGATGTCTTGTGGCCAGGAGCTAGAGATCACTGGGCCCTACAGATGAACCTGAAATCACAGTTGGGAAAGTTGTCACCTGGGAGGAGGGTGCGAGGGATGGCTTCCCCTAGGCTTCAGCAGCTGGGTACATTATTGTGTGCTTCCTAGTTTAATTAATTGTTCTTGCTATCCCAATGCTAAACTCAGTTGTTTCTACACTGCTGAAGGAATATGAATGCTCTGGCTGTTGCTGTGAGTCTAATCCAGCTCTTCATGACCCACAAACTTGCCCATGGGGTTTTCTTGGCAGAGCTCCTGTAGTGCTTTGCCATTTCCTTCTCCAGTGTGTCCATGTTTTACAGATGAGGAGCTGAGGCAAAGAGGAGTCAAGTGACTTGGCACAGCTAGCAAGCATCTGAGGCCAGATTTGAACTCAGATTTTCTGACTCCAGGCCTGGTACTCTATCCACTTCACCACCTAACTGCCAAAGAAGTCTTGAGAACCACTCTTCATTCTTTGGCAGTTCAGATGGTCCAAAGGGGTATGTTTTAGCCCCTTGATTAGATAATTACCATATAAAGCTTAACCAACAATTATGTTCTCTCTACTCATTCAGTGCTCTAAATTCTGGTGTCCTGGGACACCATGTTACATAGTAAGAACATTTCTGATTGATTTTTTCCCAACTTGAGGCTCTTCTGTTTTGTCTCCCCAGATGTCTGCCTTTATAGCTAAGCTTGTGTGTGCTGTTCAGAATGCTCACAAGTCCTCCTCCAGACCTGGACGAGGACAAGAAATGATGGTGTCAACAGAACCGATTCTCATCCAGACCTACACTGGGCTGATGTCATTCATTGGAAATTGCAACAAACTGGGCTACTCCCTGGCCCGTGGCAGCATAGGATTCTAAAATTACACTCCTTGTATAGTTAGCTCTGTTCTGCCAAAAGCTATTCGGTCATTTAGAGTTCCTGTGCTATTTCCTCTGCAGTTCTGTAAGCCGCCTTTCCTACAGTCTCCCCTCCCCATCCCCCATCCCTCACAAGCTTTCTGATGGACACATTTTCTGGGCCATGTAAAGAAGTAGGGAAGTTGTGTAAGCTGCCATAGTGTTTAGACCTTGATACAAAGGTTGAGATAATGGAATTAAAGCATGAATACTTTATCAAATTAGTGTCCGAATATGAAGTGAGTTCTGTCTACAAATTCACTCTCCTCCCATTCTTAAGTGTTTATGGATATATGCCCATTCTGGGGATCTCATTCAGCCTTTAAGTCTTCCATTATGACCTCTAGATAGTGGACTCCCAATTTGATGACCTCTAGTCCTTACCTCTCTCCTGTGCCCCATCTCCCATTGTCTGCCAGATACCTCCACCTGTATGTTCAGGTCATCTCAAACTCAACATGTTCTTCAAAGAAAACATGGGTCTTTCATAGCATAGTTGTTTAGTGGCAAGGCCCTAGGGTTGGAATCAACACATTTGAGTTCTAAAATTGGTTCTAATTAAAACTTTATGTGTGACTTTAGGCTAGTTTCTTTTTATTTCTGTACCTTGATGTCCTCATGTATAAAAAGATAGTTTGAGATTTAATAGACTCTAAGGTAACCCTAATCTACAATTATGTTTCTCATATGTATATACTCATTGTTTCTGACCTAAACAGTTTTAGTGGCCATCTTACTGACTGCCCATTCTGACACTCACCACCCCCATCTCAGCTAATCATTATAAGTCCCCTTGAGTAATCTTCCTAAGACATTCCCTTTGAAGATAATGATGATGATGATGATTATGATGATGATGACAATGATGTTGATGATGGTGGTGGTGGTGATGGTGGTGGTGATGGAGATGATGGTGATGGTGATGATGACAATGATTTTGGTGATGATGATGGTGGTGATGGTGGTGGTGATGGAGATGATGGTGATGATGATGGTGATGATGTTGGTGATGGAGATGATGGTGATGGTGATGATGACGATGATGTTGGTGATGGTGGCGGTGGTGATGGTGGTGGTGATGGAGATGATGGTGATGGTGATGGTGATGATGTTGGTGGTGGCTGTGGTGGTGATGGTGGTGGTGATGGAGATGATGGTGACGATGATGTTGGTGATGGTGGCGGTGGTGATGGTGGTGGTGATGGAGATGATGGTGATGGTGATGATAATGAGGGATCATAATGTGCCTTCAGATTAATTAGGTATTTTATATATCATATCTCATTTGGTCCTCGTAACAACTCTATGAGGTAGGTGTTATTATTATCTGCATTTTTCAAATGAAGAAATGGAGATAGAGAGGATAAGTGATTTCCCCAGGATCACACAGCTAGCAAGTGTCTCAGGTGGAATTTAAAACTCCTTGCTCAGGAAGTCTTTAGCATTTCAAGACATGATATGATCCCTGCTGGCATCTCTAGTCTCACACGATTCTTCCCCATTCACAAGTGCTCCCCTTTTGACTAGCTGGTTTTGCTCATGATGCCACCAACACAGACTGAAGCAATGCACATTCCTATGACTTAGCCTTTGCTTGTGTTCCTCTTTCTACCTGGAATAATCCCTTCTGTCTTTTTCCACTCATCTGAGTCCAACCTTTCATTCAAAGTTCAGCTCAGCAACAGTGGGACCTCTTCCAGGACCTCCTACCCAATAGCCTCATACTTGGTTACAACAGCTTCTTTTCCACTGTTGCTGCATTTCTTCCCTATGTAAGTCACTTCATTCTTGCCATAGCCATTTGTGTTGACATTGTGTTGACAGCAAAATGTAAATAAGCACTTAAGAGGAGGGGCCATGGCTTGCACCTCCTTTTATCTCCAGCAGCTCAGTGTCTTGTTTACACTAGGCATCTCAAATAGTATTGCATAGTTCAGAGCATTAGAAGGAAATCAGGAGCCCCTGGGTTTTTGTATGTGTTTTAATAGTCAGATGATTTGGGGCATGTCTATCATACCTTCTGTGCCTCAGTTTTCCTATCTGTAAAAAAAGGGGGACTATGATACCTATTCTGCCTATCTCATCATGTTGTTGTAAAGACCCCATGAAACCCATAGATAATGTCCTTTGCAAAGCACTATGTTAATATCAGCTCCTGGAATGTGGGAAATGTGTGATAACAATCATGTTTGCTTGTGTTGGTGATGCAAGGATAATGGATGACTGATGATGTGGTTGAAGATGATAATGGTGGTGTTGGTGACTGGTAATGGTTGCAGCGACAACCTAAAGAATGCTACAAATCCAGGATCACCAAGAATTTCTTTCTTGTGTCTCAGCTAGGTGGATAAAATGTTAGTTATCTTAGTGGGTCCTTCCTAAAGGCTAAGGCAGGTATTGCAAGGCTATAACATACAAACAAAACACAATCCATAGGATAACTTATACTGACACGTAGGTTTTTATTTATCCTTGTTAGTGCCTGCCTCCCATGAGATGCCAAGTTGCTAAAAGGTTGCTGGCAATTGGATATTATCTGCAGAATGCTGTTGTTCAAATACATAACTCTTGTCTCAGATAGGAAATAAAGACATAAAAGCTGTGTCTCCAATCACATGGATTCATTTAACCAATCAGCATAGTGGAAAGGAGGGTCCTGAATCATTGAAATGCATAATATGTGCATTTGTATTAGGGAAGAAGAAAGAGTGAAAAAGTCAAGTTCTGGGAGGTCAGGGCTAAGTGGGACACTCTAATGGGGGTCATGTCCATGGTGAAAGAAAAGAGGAGGTAATGGTAAATTAGGAGATTATCCAAAGCCTACACACGTTTTGGGCAGTTTTGCTAAAAACTGGCCTGCCACTGAAATGCCCATCATGTATTCTTCTCCCCAAGCCCACCACATGAATGATTCCCTTCTATATCCTATTTTAGTGGTTAATTTTTTTTTTATAAAGAACTAGAAAATAACCAGAGTATGTGTATCTGCCTATACAATGTATGACTTGGATGGAATTGATGATGGTATCCTTACATATTGTCTTCAAGGAGAAATATTTGCTTTAAAATTGAACAAAGCCCCAGTAGGAGAGCCTAGAAAAAAAAGAAGAATGTATAGAACTGCCTTGTTAGAGGGATTTTTCAGACTCTTCTTACTCAAAAGAAAAAAAAGTCTTTCAATTTTGGGTTGAGTGGTATTCCCCAGCTGGCCACCAGTTAATGAGGATTGAACATTAAGTTCTGCGTAGGTACACATAAGTCAATTTGGCTGGTTTTCTATTCTATAGTCATTAAAAGCTTTTATTCACAAAACCCCTGTTATCTCTGAAATTGTTAGAAATTCAAAAGCAAGATTTTTTAAAAATTACTTCATAGATGCTCATTCTCACACAGCAATAACATGTTATTACTAATTTCCCAATCATGCATGCCCTCTTTCTTCCCTTATTTATAACTATATCACATTTCTCATCCATGGAATTCAAAATTTCCATCAAATAATAAAAGAAAAGGATGTATTAATCACCCATTAAGTCCCAGATACTGTACTAGACAGTGGGTTATAAAGAAAAAAAAAGAGCCCCTGCCTTCAAAGAGCTACGTTCTTTAAGGAAACACGATATGTACATATAGAGCTTCTTTCCAGCTCTAGAAGTATGATGGTATGACTTTGGGGATGAGAGGTGGTTATGCTCACACAGAGGATTACCAGGGTTTGGCTCACAAGAGTTATGCACCTGTGGGGGAGATGAGCTCCAGGCTAGGGTCATTCCTGCCTGTGGCTGATGCAGAGTAGAAGTATAGGTCATGGGATTTGAGAAACTGAGCAACTGGGAGGTTGGAATGTTTGATTAAGTATGCGCATCAATGCTGAAATACCCTAAAAAGCAAGGTCAAAGGTTAAGGGACAGTGAGCCAGAGTCTAATTTCCTTGAGAATGGAGAGAGATGGCTGAAAAGAAGGGAGAATTGTAGAGAACAGATTTCACTATCTGCATAGTGTAAATGTTTTTAGTTGAATGAACTTCATAGGGACAGGGTTGCTGTCTGAAGGAAGTAGAGAGTTTTGTCAATAGCGAGCAAGGAACATTCTTTTCATTTATCTTTTTTGAATGATTTAATTGGGGTTAAGTGACTTGCCCATAGTCACAGAGCTAGGGAGTGTTATGTGTCTGAGGCCAGATTTGAACTCAGGTCCACCTGACTCAAGGGCCAGTGTTCTATCCATTGCACCACCAGGGAACATTCTGAATCACCCTTCAGGACCAATCGGAAAGGGCATATGATAGAAGGTACAATTAATTAGTGCTAGGAAGGGTGGCCAGGGATATAGTATAGGCAAAGCCAGGTCTCTGGAAGTTCAAGTAGCTGAAAAGTATTTGAGAGGAAGAAGTTCCAAATGAAAAGAAGTTTATTCAATTTGCAGCAGGAGCTTCAGAGGCCCTAGAACATCCGTGTGTGAGGAAAATCCCATTGGTAACTGAGTGAAGGGTGGATTGGATTAGAACAGGGGTGGGAAACCTGTGGCCTTCTGAGTCCTTAAGTACCTCCTTTTGACCGAATCCAAATAAATGTAAGGCTGGCTACATGAAGCCTTAAGGCCACCAGTTCCCCACCCCTGGATCAGAGAGAGACTCAGAAAGTAGGACCATTAGGAAGCTGTTACAATGGTCCAGATGAGACATGATGAGGTCATGAATCAGAGGTGTGGCTGTGTGAGAGCAGAGAAGTGGTGACATGAAGGGTAGGTGCTGAGATACAAAGGGCAAAATTGGGCAACTGACTGGCTATGTGGGGTGAGTGAGAATGAGGACCAAGGCTAGCAATGAGATTGAGAATTTGGGTAAATGGAAGGATCCTAGAACCCTCAACAAAAAGAAAGGAAAATTATTGTTTGTTTTTTAAGAGGAGCCAATTAATTTTTGAGGATTGTACCAGGCTCAGAAGAAGGCAAACAGGAGGGTTAAAGGACCTTGAGTCAATATCATACAAAGATCTATTCAAAGAACTGGGGATCTACAGCCTTGAGAAGAAGGGAAAAAAACCAAAAAAACAAAAACAAACCTTAAGGAATATATTATAGTTGCCTTCAAATATTTGAAGGTCTGGCATGTAGAAAAATTAAAATTGTTCTTTTTGATCCTAAGGGGAAATGGCTAGGATCTGCAAATGGACGTATCTATCTTTTAGATTCAATAAAATCTTCCTGTACAAAAATGTGTTGGGTTACATCAAGACACGGTACATTGTTCATCACGGCTAGTCTTCAAATATGAGGTGGATGGCCACCTGTAGGGCATATGACAGTGAATTATTTTAGGGACAAAGGGTAGTATTAGTTAGACTAAACAGATGCTGAGGTAGTTTCCACATTTGAAATTCTAGAATTCTTTGTTTCTGTTACATCAAGCTCATATGGCTTGAGGCAGAGATTCCTTAGACTATTGCTAGTGACATTGCATGGGAGATGTTTAGGGTAAATGCTCTCAGGAAACTCTTCTGCCCACACTCACCTGATGGCAGCC